CACTTGCTCATTAATATTCACGGATTGGAAAACATCCGTTACAAACACGAATAATATTACGTTAATATTCACTATTAACAAATAAATTTGGTCCAAAAAATTAATCAATCAATCGATCATTTGACCAAATCCAATCCGAAGCCGAAGCCGAAGCCGGGTCGAGCGAGCGACAACGGCGGCGCGAGGCTTGCCTTCTTCCTAACTCTTTAAGAGCTAAATGAAGCGCATTTGTATATAAACCCACCAAACTCCTTTTCTTCTGCCAATGGGGGACAATGTCTCATTAAAAAGAGATGAAAACTTAAAATTTTACTCAAAATTTTCATTTCCCTCCATTTCCCATTCACCCTCTTTTTAATATCTTTCCATATTAAAAAGAAACTCAACAAAAGTTAGAAAGTATCATGTCTTCAACAAATATCAAATCCTAGAAGTATAAAAAAACCGATCTTTTTAACGCCATATTCGAAGCAATCTTTAGCTCCATTAAGGTACTCCCCGCCTAATTTCAACAAGCAATTACCACGAGTGGTAATTGCTTCGAGCAATGTCTTATCCAACTTTAGCTATTAAGAAAATACATGATTAAAATGTAAAAAAAAAAGAGACAAAACCATGAAATTAACGTATAACTCACTGCTTCTTTAAGTTGATTTTCAGCTTCTACACTATACTCGGGAAAGATACATCCAAGATAAATCCTTTGAGGAAATGATAATGAGCTTTTGTTTTATCCAATAGCAATTCCTCTATCCAATTCAAAATAAAAAATTAACACATACATAAATTAAACTTTATTTTCTAAAATATATTTTAAACATTTACCTTTTGGTATGTTATCAAGTTTCCAGAGAAGTCCAGGGGCTTTTCTCGCTAACTTAGCAAGATCTTTATCCCGATCTTTTGTGAAATTATTATTGGGATGTTCATTGATGGATTTGACCAAAGATATTTGATGTTCAAACAACTTAGAATCACTCATCTTAGTTGGTAAAAAAGACAGAGTATGTATAAAAGAATAATCTGTAAGAGGGAGTAAGAAAAAGATATGGGAAAGGCTGATTGTAGTTAACGAGCTACCATGGGGAGATGAGAAAGGCTGACTGTAGTTAACGAGCTACCATGGGGAGATGGGAAAGGCTGACTATAGTTAACGAGCTACCTTGTTAACCACGGTACTGAGCACGCCTGAGCAGAGTAGCTATTACTTTCACAGAGTACGGAATTCAATTTCTTGTGAGACTGTATTCCTTGTTTAATTTTTTCCGCCAAATTACTCCCAAAAACTGTGGCACAGTTTAAATTTGACTGTATATTTCAGGCTTAGATTTTTTGTTTTTAAATTTTGAAATAAATTTTATGTATTTGGAAGCTATGTAAATAAATACTATAAGTTACAATAATTGACAATTTAAAATACTTAAAAGATAAATAGAAAAATTTGAATATCGAAATCCAAAAGGTATCACATAACTTGGGACGGGAGAGTATATTTTTTTTCGTGAAAAGAGTGCGTCAAATTTTTGGACGATTTGCAGTTGTACTCTATATTTATGACACCTTTTAACTTGAAGTTTTATCACATGAACTAAATAACTTCAGTATTTTTTTCTGAACTTTTTAGGGAAAACTCATTGCTAACCCTCAGACTGCAGGAAAAAACTTCACCATGTTCAGTCTGAAACTACAAAATTGCATGAGGTGCCCTATTTAGTTGCCCCTTTTTAACTTGTACCCGTTTTTTTTCTTTTTCTGTTTGCATCCGTATCCCTTTTTTTGTTAAAAGCGTTTTAAAATAATAATTTTGTCCTTCTTTAATAAAAGACTATTTTCTCTCTAAGTATATGACATATTGTCTCTTGTCTCTGTCTCTCTCTCTCTCTCTTTCGAGGTTTTTGATTATTCTCTGAAATCAAATGGTTTTCGTCATTGCATTCTGCTTGATTAGCAACTATTTCTTCACCAACAAAATTAAGTATAATCACAAGTACGATTTTAATGGTTGCTTTTGTACATTGCATTAACTGTGTATGGAATTTTACTTTAGGATTAGTTTTATGATATAGCAAATGTATACAGGTTCTGAGTTCTTCATCTGAAGTTACAAGCATCCCTTTACTTCTATTTAGTTTGACATCAAATCATATTTTTAGTGAATATTTGGTTGAATCAAAATCTGTAACTTCACTAATTTTCTTCAGGAAAGTATTGAATGATACTTCTTTACTAAACATAACAAGTTTTGTATCATGATCCAAGTATTTGTAATCGAAAGTCCAACTTCCATTGAAAGTAATAACAAGGCAAATCGAACTCATCCTGCAAAATGAAAATTGTTTATACTAAAGTTTTCGAAAAAAAGCTCATGAAAAAATTGTTTAATGCAGGACAAAACTTAAGCACATTTTGGTATGAACTTTTTACAAATGAACTAAATAACTTCAGCATGTATTAACTAAAATTCATAAACAAAATTACATATTGCAGGAGGAAACTTCAGCACGGTTGTCATGAAGTGTTTGAAATTGAGCTAAATAACTTCAGCATTTTTATGTTGAAGTTCAGGAAAAAGCTCATTTTGGTGTGAAGTTTTACCAAATTATGTAAAAACTTCAGCTTGTTTTGTATGAAATTTTAGCAAATAAACTAAATAACTTCAGCATGCATTAGCAAAAATTCACTGAAAATTAACATAATGCAAGACAAAAACTTTAGCATTTTAGTGCTGAAGTCTTAGAAAATCAACTAGAAACTTCAGCTTGTTTAGACTACAAGACAAATACTTCAGCAATTTTGGTGTGAAATTTTAGCAAATCATGTAAAAACTTGGGCTTGTTTAGTATGAAATTTTAGCAAATTAACTAAATAACTTAAGCATGCATTAGCAAGAATTCATTATAAAATTACAAAATACAGGATTAAAACTTCAGCATGTTTGTCCTGAAGATTTAGCATATTTGTCATCATGACAAAACTGTTGAATGCTGGACAAAACTTCAGCATGTTTGTCCCGCATTCAATATCATACATTAGCAAGAATTTTTAGTTTGAGCATGAAACAACTTCACGCTAACTTAGGTTTAACGTGAAAAATCTTTTGGTACAATAGCATGAAATTTTAGCTTGTATTTTATTAAAACATTAGAATAACGTGAAACAACTGCATTCTATATCTTTCATGCAAAGTTTTTGAAGATCTATCAGTGAAAACTTCATGTTTATGCAAGTGTGATTTAATTAGCATAAGTGAAAAAATCTATACGTTGATTGAATTAAAACTTAAAAGGCATGATGAATTATGAAAATAATTGCAGAAAAATATATAATATGAAGATCAATCAGTATGAAGTGCAATACTTACAATGTATTTTCTAATTTTGAATTTGGAATTTGAATATGGTTCAACTTTCTGGTTTTGTGATTATGGCATATGTGAGAGGAGATCTGAGGAGGGACGGAGTGATGGAGGAGAACGGTAAAATAATTTATGTGTGATGCATCTTTTATATCTTTTGTCAATGGTATAATTGTCATATTATTATATTTGTCAACTGGCTATCAAATCAATAATTTTTAAAAATAGAATATAGATTAAAACATGGCACAAATATTGGGTGAGGCTGCAAATCGTTACAATTGTAAGTCGCCACCTCCATTCCAAAACTGGATTTTTGGGGTGTGGCATACCCGAAAGTTAATTAATGACATTAATTAAGAAGTAATTTGTTAATGTATCCTTTTGCTCTCCCAGTTACCTTCTTTAATGCTATATTCCTAGAAAATGTAAAATAGTTTTTTAAAAAAACAGTAGAGAGTGATAATTTTGAAAGACATTAACTAATACACGACATCTTTGAACTTTATAAATTTTAAGTATTTATTTGAAAAATTGATATAGAGATGGAATGGAAGAGATGCGTTGCATGGAAGGAACAAAGTGCAGCTAAGCAGAGTAGCGGAATGCAAAAAGACTAATTTCTGTTAGGTTGGTTGCAATATTCTAATTTCTGCTCACATTTTTCTAGTTGTTATATGATGGAATGTATTGCTTGTTTTGGCCTTTTCTGGATGGTAAAGATATCTCGACGATCAATTTTGGCCCTCACTTTTCTTAATCAATTTCTTTATGCTTTCAAATTATTAGTAATTTACTAAATATATTTGACCTTATTTTATCCGAAATATTTGTTGTAATCACGATTTTTTAAGTAAAGAAATAAAATTATTAGTTTTAATATAATTTAGTATTTTGGATTTATTATAGTTATATTATCATCTTTTTAGTTAATTAATTAATCACCATCATTTTATTAAGCATAAAAGAATTATTTACTAATTTTGATTTATTATATGTATACATGCATGAATTATTATAACTATAAAATATAATATTTTATTATAAATTATTAGAATTATGGAAGCATAGTGAAATTTAAAGAGAAAGATTTTTAAATGTTAATTGGATCATCTTTGTAAAGTCCAATATCATTCAAAAAGGGGCCAATTCTTAGAATACATTTTCAGATTTCTAGACCCCTGGATCAACCAACTCGGCCCACAACCATTCGACTCCTATCCATTTCAATCCAATACTTACACTCTCAGCGAGTAGAACTTAAATTTTTTGTAATTAAATTCTTAAAAGAGAAATAGTTTTTTTCCATTTTTAATAGAAATTTGAAGGTTTAAGGAGCAGGAGGCAACTCAGTCACAGTATCAAGAACTCGTTAAAGTAGTGAGTGAGCAACCAAATTATCCCAGATCTCAGTCTCCTCGAGTGAGGTGGGGATTTGGTATTTAAAAACTTCCCTTCTTGGCTGCTTCCATCCACTCGGTTAAACTATAATAAAAGGGAATGGTCGTATCAACTTAATCTTATTCTCTGAAATGTATTGGGTCACTATTTGAAGAATGCCTGTAATGTTCAAGAGTAGTTTCATATCCAACAATTTAAAATATTTCGCTTAGAAAAAAGAATCAAAAAGTAGCATGGACGTATGTTTAAAATGGTAAAACCTTAGTCAGGCTTCTCATTATTTGAAGGAAAAATAAAGAAGAGCAGACCCCCACATTTCAGAATGTGGAAGCAACCTCACGTTTGCTTCAAGGCTCATGATTACAGGCAACGTCAACTATAGTTACTCGGGTGAGAACATGCAGAGCAAGTCTCAATATCGTCAAATGGGGAGCCTTATTATCATCACTCACTCACTGTGTGTGTGGTGTCACAGTTCAAAAAATGCAGCAAAAGAGTTCCCAACATTCAAGCTTTTCATCTTAAAGAATCAATCAACTTCGGCCGTTCTACCCTACACTTTGTGACGAGTCTTTGGACAAATTCTCGGACAGACGTGCTTCAAGAAGATCATTTTCCCTCCTGATGGTATCAAGGTCTGCTTTCAGCTTGTCAATATCAACGGTCCGAGACGCCATAGTTGCAAGCTTGCCTTCATAATCAGCCACTTCTCTTCGGGCTCTATCCGTTGCAAGAAGATTTTCGGCTATTTGTTCAAAGCTGTCATGGATGCTAGTAAGTATCCTGTAAGCTTGCCGTCCTACCTGGTCCTTTTTTGCCTCCCTTGTAAAAAAAATATAGACAATTTACATTATTAGAAAAATCTACATTCTCATTAACACAGCCAATTTTGTAATCACCAGCATATCAAAAGATTGTACCTGAACACCATCTCATCCACCACTGCATGAGTTCGATTAAGCCGTTCTTGGATAGAGTTGCTCTCCAACTGAAGCTCCCTTGTTTCTTTTAAGATTCTTTCTATGTCAGCATCCTGCTTCTGGCTGTTTTTTGTGATCTCTTCAATACGCTGAATGTAGGTACTCCTAGGTTCCAATTCGGGCCGCTTCTCGGCCTTTGCTGAGAGTATAATAAGTTCCTCCTCTCTGCAGAGTGACAGATAGCAAACATCCAGACAAAGTTACCACGTTGATGCAATTTCTCAACATACTTACAGAAATGAGTTAACTTCGTAACACATACAGTCTAGCAGCTTTCAAGGTTCACAAAACCATGACAATCTGCAATGCAGTTAGTGTCTGTTCCAGTCATAGATTCTTGACAGTTTACATGCAGTAAGATGTTAAGGCTTTAAGCCGCGTAAAAAGCTCTGATTTATATATAGACAAATATCCCTCTATCCCACACTATTTAGCCTCTTTCCTAATGAGTAACGACAGATTCTGTTCTCAAAGAATCCAACCGATAAGAACCAATAATGTTGTATAGTAACTTAATCATACCGTATCATATTTTCAACTAAATATTCCACTTTTCACATATTAATTGTTATCCTCTAATACATTTACCGATTCAAAATCGAACAAATAGAGTTTCCTATTCTATGATTTCTTCTGCTACTTCTTTCATTGGCTACAACACAATTTCTTCTCTCAATATTGTTCCTAGTCAAACTAGGTAATCTAAAAGGCGATGGAGAGTCTGCATGACTTAATTGATGATGACCTACCTTTTTTCCTTTTCAGCTAATATAAACTCCAGCTCCAACTCAATCTCTTCCAACTTTTTATATTTTAAATAGCTCTCTGGCTCTGTTGCTTTTAACGTTTCCTCAAGATAACTCTTTTCCTGCTCAAGGGCCACTCTCTTATCATTCCTGCAAGAGACTTTAGAATTATCCCGAGCTTGCATAGGCAGAACTACAGTTGAGATAGTTATCCAAGTTTCAAAAAGAAAAATATAAGAAATGATGTTAGAAGTCTATAACATGCATGAGACTGAATCCTTCCACTTTTTTTTTTTTTTTTTTTTTTTTTGAGGTCTTCTGGGGATACTTAATAAGCAACAGATCATTATACTACCAGTGGCTCTCCATTTCGACAATTTTGCCCATTTTCAGTTCCACCGGATCGTTTAGTTGATTCACATAAAAGCCAGTGGGACGACTTTCATTAGAACCCATATCAACTGCTGCTCTCAACAAACCAAGCTTTTCTTGTAGTTTTTGTAATTCGGCAGACCCTGAGACTGACTTCTCCACGAGCATTTCCTTTTGGTCTTGTAAAGTTTCTGTTTTGCAGTTCATCTGCAGAATGGCATGAAATAATAAGAGAAGATAACATGCTGGAGGCTTTCTGAAAGCCTAACCACAAAATCAAATATCAATGTCTGTTCCCTACTTCTCTATCTTCAAATATGCTCCAGTTCTAAATTGTCAGCTTGTCCGTTTCATTAACATCGACCTATCTACCTCAAAGCAGGTCTACCAAAAATTCACTAAAGATCAGATGAAATCCACCTACTATTAAGTACCTGAGGCAAATTCACGCACGGAGAAGTTGATTGCTGTCCATATTCAGAATCATGTTCATTTTCCCTCAAAGAACTCCTCACGCCTTCCACCAAATCCAGGACGTTTTGTTCACTGCCTGATATCTCCTTGCTGGAGTCAACTCTACCTTCTCTAGGTATATGAACACCATTATAAAATTCATCCATCTTATTCGGGATAAGATAAGATCGCTGTGACGACTCTGGTGTTTGTATCATCATCAATGGATCACCCACTCTTCCCAAAAGCTCCTTATGTGGCAGTGGTCCTGTATCATCAACATTTTCTTCTGGAGTCTTAAGGGGTCTTTTAGATTCAAAAACTGCATCTTTTTGAGCTTCAACATCAGATAGCCTCCCAACCAAGAATCGGACCAACTCGTACAAGTCCTCTTCCGATGGATAAAGAAACTGCCTAAGCAATAGACATAATGCTTGCTCTAAGCACAAATGGAGACAAATCTAACAGACACATGTAGCAACACAGCATTTTTAAAAGCGGCGTGAAAACTGAAAAAGACAAAGTCCTTGGAGCTTGAAGCGAAAAGAGAGAAGTGAAGCAAACAATCACAGAAGATAACTAGACATATATGAATTTAGTAATGAGGTGGTCAATGAAATAGGAGGAGAACCATGACATTTCCGATTCAAATCCCAATGGAGGCAAAAAAAAAAACACTAGATGATTTCTTTTCATCTACTCAAACCTTGGTTGACAGAGTTACCCGGTACCTCAGTGGAATTGTCGAGTTGCTCGCAAGCTGGCCCAGACACCATTGTCATTTTAAAAAAATGAATTCCGTAATATAATAGTCAAATTGTAATTAACATAACTAATTTCAACCTCCAATATACAATAATGTCAATATTAATCGAACTCTTCAAAGTTGAAATTTAAAGAACTGATAACTTTTCGTTTAATTCAGTTTGTGAAGTCATCAATTTAAAGGAAGCACACGTCTTCACCTAGGAAGCGATAACCCCTCGTTTCGCATCGCTTCATATAAGCGGCAAAGAGAGGGCTTTTGGTAACACTGCCTGATCAAGCACTAATGCACATCAAAATCAATTAATTCCTTTAACAAGACGCAGTTAAATCATAGATGCAGCACCTACTACGAACGAAGATAATTTGACAGATTAAACAAAACTTCAACAGAATAAACATTGAGATCTCTGGAAGTAGAAAAGCAAAAAAAAAAGAAAAAAAAAAAAGAAATTCCAACTCATAAAAAATACTAAATACTTATCAAATTCGATTTCGTTTGCAAAAAGCAGTTCTTAATTGTGCAAAATGCCAGCAAAACGACGGCGTATTAGATATAAGATCAAAAGAAGAAGAAGAAGAAGAAGAAAATGGAGAGGTATATAACAGTAGTAGTAAGTAAAACCTTGTGGAAGCTGATGTCACCGACGAAACCTAGGGTTTTGAAGGCGGAGGCAAGGTCGGAGCAGAGCTTTAAGCGGTCGGACACTGAGTTCTCCGGCAAGGAAGAGGTAAAGGATGAATTTTGGTCAATGAGGTGCAATGACTGGGAGGAGATAAAGAATAATGTTTCCGGCGTGAGATCTTTGACCGATGAGATGCCGGGAGGTATCGTCACCCCTGAGTTGGCGATGGAGTTGAGTAGAATCTCTTGAGATTTTTCCATTGTCTCTGCAGAGTGCAGACCTTTAGAGATAGCGGGGATAGCTTATACAGTTCATTTTCATTTGACATCCTGTATAAAGTTTATTTTCTCAAGTAGTAGTATTATTTATATTTTATTTTATGTGACATAATTTTTTATATTAATAATTTAATAAAGTGACATATTTTTATATCTAAATACAACTTCACTTTAAAGTTATTATTTGATGCTTAGTGAAATTTTTTTATAACCACATAAGTATTATTAGATATTTAAGATTGTAAATTTTAAAAATTTTATAGCTATATAAATATTATGACATTTAAAATCACATATTTCAATTTATTGATTACATAAATTGATACTTACCTGAGTTAGAATAAATGAATAATATCTTATCTCTATATGCTACTTTTAAGTATTTCTATCTCCTCTTTGTCATTTTTTTTCAAGTTATTTCCCAAGAGTAATGGAGTATAGTTCCTTTTAAACTTTCTTTCATTTTAAATAGTTTTAATAATTTTTCCTCTTTAATATTTTATTGAAATCCCCATTTTTGTTCTGACAGTACTGCTTATTTTTATTACTTTTATGTAATTTGTCTTAATCGTAAAATGTTTTGTATTTTTCTAGAAATATTCATTTCCTAGAGTTTTTAGATGTCATTAAAAGGTCTAATTTTGTTACTATTTTCAAATTATATATGGTATACATAGGGTATAAAAATAAATTCAAATGAAGAGCAACAAGGCTGTGCCATAACTAGAAAATAACCTCAAAGATCACACGATGCATCAAGAGCACCAACAAGTTTTCTAGTTTTCAAATAGAAAGCATGTGTTTCAACAAGTTTCAAGATTTAGGCAAAATTCTGGTTTGGATCAGCTTCTCTACCATATATAATAGCCATGAACTTAATTTGTCCAACACCATTGAAAAAGTTCTCAATTTTTCTATTTTCATGGAGCAAGTAGCACAAGATGAAATCGAGGATCTGTCGTTGTCCCCTCCAACTGTTGGCTCCATGCAGATTGCTGGAAGCAATGGTTTCGGCCATAACATAGAGTTCATGTCTCAAGCTTATCTTAGAAACAGAAGTTGTTCTGAAATTGATATTGAAGTAGACCATAATACATGTATCACTCATAATGATCAACCCCTTCCCATATTTCTCAAGGTACATTTTGCTCCAACCAAATATTTTTTCATTTAGATTAATTTTATCAATTATTTGTGGGCTTCTTAAGTTTTTTTCTTTTATTCCCTAGTTCAGTGTTCTTTTAAACTGGGCATTCCTTCTTTCGAAGAATACAATTTTAGTTCCTTAAGGTTTTCTATATGAATTTATACATATTTCTATTCACTATCTGTTTTATTTTGTGCTTATATTAAGAGATATATAAAAATGTTAAAAGGAAACTTAAGCAAGGCGGGCAGAATGGGACAGGTTGTAAATAAGAAAAAAAAAAGTTAAACGGGGCAGAGCAGGGAGGGCTGGGCAGGTTGTAAGTAGGAAAAAATGTTAAATAGGGTGGAGCAGGGCATGATCAGCGGACCAAGGCTTTACCCGCTCTACTGCTCTGCTCCCGCCCGTCTCACAGTAGTGAAGCCAGAAATTTCTCTAAGAGTATTCAGACTTGAATAAAAAAAATCCTGATAAATTTATGATATAAGTTTAAGAGTTTTGGCTTTTGTAATGTGAGTGGTTACAAATGCAGTTTGCAAATGTGGAGTACAAGGTGAAGATTAACCAAGCTTTCTCCAACAATCCTGTCAAGGCAGTTGTATCAAAGGTAGCTTCCCAGTTTGAGCATGACAATTACAAGCATATACTCAAGGGTATAACAGGAAGCGTTGGTCCTGGTCAAATTCTTGCCTTAATGGGGCCTTCTGGCAGTGGGAAAACAACTTTGTTAAAGATATTGGGCGGAAGACTGCACGAAAATGTCAGAGGAACTGTCACTTACAATGACATTCCATATAATCCGGCTCTTAAAAGAAGGTGATACCTATCCAACAATAACTTCTTTTTGCCTCTTTTTATTCTGTTGCCTTAAAACTAGGAGTAGGTACAAGTTTTTCTTTCAATGTAGATGATTTTGTATTGACTTTTGTTTGTGATGTGTGCTAATGCTATAGGGTGGGTTTCGTGACACAAGATGATGTGCTTTTTCCGCAATTGACTGTTGAAGAAACCTTAGTTTTTGCTGCATTTTTAAGACTTCCAAGCAAGATGAGTCGACGCCAGAAGTATGAAAGAGCAGAAGTTATTATTAAGGAATTAGGCTTGGAAAGGTATGTGAGCTACCTTTGCATGAACTTCAATACATACTGCACCTCTGCTAAAAGAAACTTAACATGATTGTTGCAACTGTTCATTCATGAATTTCAAAATCATAGATGTCGTCACACGAGAATAGGTGGAGGACTCGTTAAAGGTGTTTCTGGGGGAGAAAGAAAAAGAGCTAGCATAGGTCATGAAATCCTTGTTGATCCTTCTCTCCTCTTGCTCGACGAACCAACTTCAGGCCTTGATTCTACCTCCGCAAATAGACTACTTCAAATTCTTCAAGGGCTTGCTAAGGTAAATGCTTCAGCCATTTTTTCACAGATTTGCTACATAATTCCATCTTTTTAGATGGATCCATTTATTGCAATATATTCATATAGTTATTTTCATTTTGTTACTTACAATACTCTCCTGTATCTAGTTTCTTTTCTTGTTTTAGCTATAGCCAAAGGTGGCAATTTTTGAAAGCACCATTAGGCTCTGCATTATGATTAAGTTGGCGAAATACTAATTTATTTTGTTCGTCAGATGGGAAAGACAATCATAACAACAATTCACCAGCCCTCAAGCAGGATTTTTCACATGTTTGAAAAAATCTTGTTGATATCAGAAGGTTATCCGGTATATTATGGTAAGGCCAGGGAATCAATGGAGTACTTCTCATCTCTAGGTTTTATCCCGGAAATTGCCATGAATCCAGCAGAGTTCTTGCTGGATTTAGCAACGGGGCAAGTAAACGACATTAGTATTCCTGATGATTTATATCCACCTCAATGCACATCTGAACAAGAGAGGGTTGTGATTAGAGTAAGATTCTAATTTGTACTTGTTCTGATGTTACATTTCTTTAGTTTCTTTGAAAGCTCTTTATTGGACATACTTTCACAGAATTGTGTCTATGACCATAATTAGTATCTGCAACACAAGTACAAAATCCAGTTGGAACCAAAAGAGAACCATCAAATCGCTAAGGCACCAGAGCATCTTCAAATGGCCGTTAAAGTAAAGAAAGATTGGACTATATCCTGGTGGGAACAATTCAGGATACTGTCAAAGCGAACATACAAGGAAAGATGCAGAGATTATTTTGACAAGTTGAGGTTAGTTCAATCGCTTGGAGTTGCAGTATTGCTCGGCCTTCTTTGGTGGAAATCCTCAACTGCAACTGAAGCTCAACTTCGTGATCAGGCAAATCCCAATATTCAACTTTTCTCTCCTTGTTATAGTATCTTCAAGAAAGTTTACTTTAATTTCACCTGCATTGCAGATTGGTTTAATGTTCTACATCTGTATATTCTGGACTTCTTCATCAATATTTGGAGCAGTATATGTTTTCCCATTTGAGAAGATCTATTTGGTGAAGGAAAGGAAAGCAGACATGTATAGATTAAGCGTCTACTACGTCTGCAGCACATTGTGTGACATGGTAGCGCATGTTTTATATCCGACATGTTTCATGTGCATTCTCTACTTCATGGCTGGATTCAAGAGAACTGTCCAATGTTTTTTCTTAACATTGGGTGCAACACTATTAATTGCAATAACCAGCCAGGTAAATCCAATCATTTTAAGTTCGCGAACCAATAAAGCTCTCATTTTTGGGAAAGATAAATGGATTTGTTATCTGATGATAGGGAGCTGGAGAACTTTTTGGAGCTGCAGTTATGAGTATCAGAAGGGCGGGGATGGTCGCCTCCCTGATATTGATGTTGTTTCTTCTCACTGGAGGTTACTATGTTCAGGTATCCAAATTACAACATAGTAGTATTACATTCTTAATCATTGTCAAAAAGGATATGTTGGCCCAAGTGAATCCTACTCAAGTTAAAATTGATGATACTTCTTGTATCATATGTCAATAACAAATGAAGCTCAGAAAATAAAACATCTCTCCTTTGGTAAATGATTTTTGCAAACAGTAAATCACTATTACTGTATGATTGCTAGCAAAGGATTGAGAAAAATTCTGCTCAAGAATCTGTCAAACTTGTCAACAAATGGGATAACTTGATAATTGTTGGGCTAAAACAGCCCAAAGTTAGACTTAACATGATATAATATTGTCCGCTTTGGCTAAGCCAACGCGGTTTTTCCCAAAAGGCCTCACACCATTAAGGGATTCCTACACCTTATACGTAGGCTCCCAATCTTTTCAGCTACCAATCTGGGACTTTGTTCGCACGTCCAACAATAATATATAGAAGTACATGCATGAGACTAATTTTATCTACATTCACTGAATTCTTATCCGCTATAACAATGAAGTCACAAAACTATCTTCCACATTAAAGTAATTGAAGGTTACTCGCTATAACAATGAAGTCAAAAAAATAATCTTTTATGTCACATTAAAGTAACTGAACTTGGTTGAATTGCTCAGAAAATACAAATGATTGTATTTTTGGTGTGTGTATTTGTTTGCAGCATATACCAAAATTCATGAGGTGGCTAAAGTACTTATCATTCATGTACTACGGATTTAGGCTGCTGTTGAAAGTGCAATACTCAGGAGATGAGTTATATGACTGTGAAAGCAAAGGAGGATGCAGAACCCTACAGAGTTCTCCATCATTTGACACTGTCAATTTAAAAGGTGGCTTAAAAGAAGTTTGGGTTTTGATAGCAATGGCTCTTGCTTATCGCTTCTTAGCTTACCTTTGCCTTCGTAGAAAAATCAATATTTGTAATCTTTAATTCGTGAAACTTAATTTCTTGATATTTCACACTTTGGTATTGACTTTGGAAATTGAATTCTCAATTTTTGAAAGCAATCATTTTGAATTTCA